TATATATATATATATATATAATTGTGTGAGTTAATTTGTCTCTTGTTAAAATATCTCAAAAAACTCTGGATAGATTCATGTCCATTTCTTTTCCGGGTTTCCACTGGTCATAGGCAGGGTACATACTGAACCCTAAAAACACTAAATGTATCCAGTTTCGAAGTTGRTTTCTTGACAAATGTAGCCTACAGCATCAGAAAATCTTTGAAGGTAATGATAGATAATGAAAAGAAAAAGAACAAAACATGTTTAAAGGTTCCTACCAAACATTTATTTATTGGGAACCTTTAGTAAGAGGTGAATAAGATTATAAATCCAGTAAATTTCAAAGTGCGTCACTGATTCTGAGCATGTCAGACAACACGTCAGAGCATGAAGCCAAACAGGGGAGAAAACATGAAAGAGCTACGTCCCAGCTCTCCTGAAGCTCRCATCTAACATTTCAGCTGAGCGTTGCCAGGACTAAACAAGATTATCAGTCTGCCTGCTTTATCTGCCTGCCTGCAGACTGCACAGAGACGGAGGGATCCCTAAAACAAGGACAAGAGAGGGGGAAGGGTTGAGAAGGGTGCAGAGAAAGAAAACCCAAATTAAAAAGTGAGGAGGGGGAGAGTCTGAAGGGGGGAAAAAGGGGGAACAGGTTTTCAAATGGAGGCTTTAGACTTTTATTTGTGCTCATGAGGAGGGATCTCTTTGCATAATTTATAAGCTTGAAGGGGGAAAATAATAAGCCCAAGGAAATCAGAGTCTGTGGCCTATATTTGTGTTGGAAACACTTCCCCCTTTTTTTCATCTTAGATCACAAGATGGAGCAAAAATAAAAGCGTTCAAAGACAAGAATACGCTGGGAGGAACATGAAAGACTTCGCTTGTTTTTCCTGCAGATGTGAACCCGTCGAACAGGACGGAGCTCTTCCTCTGCAGGTTACCCATCTGTAAARCTGGATTTCTGCGTGGCTCAAAGGTGACGCAGCCACATTAGACCTTTTAGGGAGTTGAAAGTGATTCAGCCTAGCCCATTTAACAACTGATAACTTCCAAGACCCCAATCCAGGCTGCTGACCTCTGAGTTGTCTCTCAGGAAAACAGTTTTTTGCATCCATTCTCATCTACAGTGACTGCAGAAAACATTCAGCACGAGACGATTTTAACCGGTCCAAACAGGAACTCCATGCACCGTTTCTGCTCTGCACGCTCACAGTAAACAGCCTTTTGTGTTTTGTTCTGATGTTTTGAAACCCCGCAGTGTTTTGTCTGAGAGCCTCAGATTATTTTAAATCTCCTCCTGGGCCTGATCTGGTGTCTAGATTAGGGAACAGGTCTTTGTGTGTTTCCTCAGTGTTCACATGAGGGGAGGCAGCTTAAAACTGGGATATGTACACAGCAGGATCCTCCCCAAAATGGATCCCCAGTGTCCTCCATCCCACCACCCACTCACATATGGGAACTAAACTCTACTTACAACCCAGTTTGTGGGAGGTGGTTGTTGAAATGGAAGATTTTATCTAAAATTTTTATGGATCTTAAACTACTTGCACATTGGTCTTAACATATTTTTATTTCTCTATTCCACCTAATATTGTTAAATGTATGATTGTAAAAGCTAAAAAGCTTTAATGTGTGACGATAAATTTATATTTTGTATTAGGTTTTATGTTCTCACAATATGTGGGTTGAAATGATCAAATGTGATGTTTAGTAAATTAGCTTTAGCGCTAATGCCAAATAGCCTATATGATACTACCGRATTTATTCATATGATACAATCTCGAGTATAATACTGTCATAATTTTTTAGCTTAAAAAGCATTTCAGCCCACCACTCATTTCAGACAGACTTCAAAAATTTTCAGGCTTTGCGGTGCGCCCTCTGGTGGCGAAGCATTGTGGGGCGTGTTCTGCTGCAGAGGGTGCGCAGCGCAAGTTTCAGGATTGGTGTGTCGCGGAAAAAACAATCCGCTCCCWGACCAGAGCAGAAACTGGTTGGTAAATTATCTCCAGTGAGTAAACAACTACTGTATACGCTTCGCTAGGCGTGACTTACAATGAGAGGGAGGGGGGTTTTAATAATATACGAGGAACCATTGAAATTTTTGCAGTTGTACATCATAAAAGTCAGTCCCATGTGTACTACCCCCCCACACACACACACTCTTTATGATAGATTTTTAGTGTTAAATTTCACGTATACACAAACAAATACGGTAATTTATATATCTATGAATATCACTAATATATTAAAAATATGTGGTGTTAGCTCCCGAGCTAATACGTAGATATTTTACTAAAATTATGTGACGTTAGCTCACAAACTATAATGGCATTAGCTTTCAAGCTCGTTAGCTTGAGAGCTAATGTGAAAGCTAACAGGCTAAGCTGAAGCATCTCAGTTTAACTGCATTCATATTTTCCGTTGCAGGCTAAGTCCTTTCTACATTATCCTCTCTGTCAACACGCTGTGGTTGAACGTCATTGGTCAAGCTGAGTAGAGCTAGTGCCGGAGCACCTAATCGCCATCTTTAGCTGCCCAGAATYTGCAGCGTGAAAACCATACTTTTTTTTAACCAATAAAACTTAAACAGCAAATGGCATTTTTACAGTCTAGTTGTTATAGTTGAAGTAATGTTTATCAAATAATATCTAACGTTAACTAGTCAGAATTCACCATAATTAAAAATGAAATGCAAAGTGCTACAAGAGACATTAGATTTAAGCACACATGCAGATTTTCACACTATATAAAACAACAAATACTCATATTTTATCATTTTATGACGTCTCATGAGCCTTTGCTGCACGAGCGTACATCAAACTTTCTCCAAGTGCATGACTGCTTGCTTAATCGCAAAAAAAGGGAATTTACTTAAAAGCTATTTGTATATCATGTATTACAGTATATTTCTGCATTTGGCCCACAGCCCTGGGATAGATTTTCATTTTGGCGCTCTCAGGGAAAATGTTTGGGCACCCCTGCTAAAAAAGAGTCATATTTGGTAAAATAAGCTTCAGAGTCAAACAAATTTGCAAAGTCACCCATGTCACGGTYATAATAAATCAACAAATCTTCTGTAACCTGCCCTTGTTTCAGGTCTGCATCTACCACCTGTCCTGCAGATGCTGCTTGTACAGCTTGAAGGTCACATTTTCAGAATGCTTTTTTTAAGAGAAACGTAAAAAGAAAACTGCTGACATTTGTTTTGTCAGCAGATGATCAGTCAGTCTGTCAGTGGGCCAGGATTATAAACAATCAAATCCAGAGCTGAGGAGGAAACAGGGTCAATCCTCTGTATGATCCCGCCACCATCTGTGAGTCTGGCCTGGTTATTGGGCTGCTTTGTGCTTCACACCATGAATTTATCCAACCTGCGTTCATTTAAACTGCTGTGTTTAGACACAGACGGGTGAAAACTTCCATTTTTACAAAATAAGTTTCACATCAAGGTCATTTGCTCTYAAGGGACTTGAAAAATTAAATTTAAAGTGTGAATGTGCCAGTAGGTTTAACAACTTTGTTGTCATTTCCAGACATTTTAAAATTCGCCTTTCCACAGTGGAAAAGGAATATTACAAACAGAAAATAAATCAGGATATTTTACTGTCATCAAACTAATACAACAAATAAATACTGAATAAATATGACATGATTGAAAAGACAGCTTAATTTTCTCTAAAGAACGTGTCTGAAA